AGTGGGGTTGTTAACCATTGTCATAGGGCAACATGTGTACTAACTGTTTAATGAGAAACTATTTTGTTCTGTGACCCTTCGTCTAAAGTAAGAATAGCAGCACAACTGGAAGAACATAATCGATGTCACTGAATTGTGCAAGTAGAAATTTTTGAAATGGTGTATCTTTGGCTATGTATATTTTCACCAAAAAAAAGAAAAAAAAGTTTGAGAAGGGAGAGTGTTGACATGTCGAGGGGTTGTTAACCAATGTCATAAAACAATATGTGTACTGACTGTTTAATGAGAAACTATTTGTTCTGTAAACCTTCACCTAAATTACAATTTAAAAAAAAAAAAAAACAAATACAGCTGCCAGGGCTGGAGGACCACTTCTGAGAAGACAGGTGCTGCTCTTGGCCCCAGCCTGATGTGCAGGCTGCCCAGTGATCAGGAGGAGCTTCAGAAAAGGGAGGTGCAAGCTCTGCTGTCTGAGGTCTGGGGAGGGTCCCCTGAAGAAGGGACAGCCAAACCTAGCGGGACAAGCCTTGGTGTGGAGGAGAGGGCACAGGTCCTAACAGAAGAGGGATAGTTTTCAGAGACGAAGCAGCCGAGCTGAACAAGGGCTAGAACTCTAGAGTCTGGTCAACTATGTTAACGCGTTTCATAGCATGTGGTTTATAAAAACAAATACAGAAAAGTAGGCAAGTGTTGACTATTTTTAATGTAAACAACGCTATTGTTTAAAAATAGGATATAGGTGGCTATTTATTGGTGTGCTAATATATCTACAATATACTAAGTAAAGAGAAAAGTAGATTACTAAAGAGTATGCACATAATTCACCAATTAAAATTATATAGATAGACCAACAACATATGCTCAAATACAAGACCACCCCAAATCTAAGTGAATTTTTGCAATGCAGTAGTAAAAAATGTTTCTAAGGAGACAATAAAAATAATTGTTGGGATTGTCCTGATTATAGAAACACTTAGAGAAATAAAATGTTTACTTATAAAATTTCATTTTATTACTTTAGATGCAACTACATATTTAAATGATGTACAGTTGGAGCAAATATGTAGATATTACACTTTTCCACGTTCAGATTCCAAAAAAATATTTTCATGCGAACTCTTCACAGGCATCTCCAACATCAGTGTCTTTCTCATCCCAAAAGCAATTTTGGAGTCTTTCAGACCAGGTTTTCAGGGTCCCTCACCTTCCCTTCCACACAGGCAGTACAAGAGACAGGGTTTTGAATCTAGAAGTTCATGATCAGCCGCCAGAACACATTCATGTGGTATTAGGATTTCTTATTCATGCTGCAGGTGTATATTTTCACCATATCAACATAGGATTCCTCTCTTAAAAGACCTGAAACAGTTATTTACAACACCAACCAACACATGGAAATATAAACTAAGCATCCCAAGCTTAATTGCTAAATCTGAGTTAAATTTCTTTGCCACTTGTTTTGCTGATTTCCTACGGTGACCACATTAGACTTCAAAAACTCACATTAATGGAGAACTTTCATGATCAAGGTCTTTTCCAAACTGTCTTCTGCTTTGCAAAACGAAGTCACTGAGAAAACCTTTCCCTTCCCATGAAAGACTTTGGAATTGGTCACATATGAGCCTCCTCCCTCTTTCCTATGGGATAATGCAGGAAATAAGACTGGAAGGAGGTACATCCAAATGTGAACAGTGAGGTTCTTTTGCTGATGGAGTTAGGGATGGTTTTCATTTTCTCCATTTGGTACATCTGCACTTTCTAAATTTTCCAACTTTAATATGAATTGCTCTTACAAGAAGAAACAAAACAAATAATAAAGGTTGTGTGTACTTTTGCTCGTGGAAGATAAAGAGCTCAGCCAATCCTGGAGATTTCAGGTTGATTCCAAGACCAGCACATCACCTTACCCTAAAAAAGCACCACCTGACCCCAGGGGCGGACATCATCCGGGTCCTGTCAGAGGTCGGGGTCTCCTCTCCATGCAGCAGGAAAGGGGACTGCCGGGAGGCCAGCTCCAGGACATTTTGGGAGATTCCTAGGCTGAGAGCCTGTGGGGAGGGCAGTGGGGAGCCTGTGGTCCCCATGTCACGGCCATTTTTTCTGGTAGTCTTACACAGAAAGAAAAGATTCCAGCTCTCAAATCGCAATTTCAGTTTCCAAACTTCAAGAGAGCAGGATGAAAGTGGCACAAGGGCTGGCAACCGGGCTTCAGGCGCGGGACCCCCAGACCTCTCTTCACCTCAAGGAGAGAAGAATAAATCCCTCTCTACTTCTTCACTGTCTCCTTCCGCTTACGAGTCCCTTAGTATGCTGGAGAAAGGCTAGGAGGTGAGCCTTTACAAGAGGTGGGCAGAAGAAGAGAGAATTAAGTCCCAGGGGCAGCCTGGCCTTGCAGAGATGGAGCCCTCCCAGGATCTGTTAGAGACCTTGTGGTCTGTGCTTCCACAGTGAGCTGGTTCTGGACCAAGAAGCCAGAGTGCTAAAAGGTGGTGAAGGCGTGTGCTTGGAGACCCTGGGAGCTCAAATCCCATCTCTGTCCCTTTGAGGCCGTGTGCTCTTGGGGTAAGAGTTATTTCATTTCTCTGAAGCTCAGTTTCCTTCTCTTTAGCACCTTTTAAAAGACAGAATGAATGGGATAGCGGGAACAGTGCTTTTAAATGGTAATTGTTCTACAAATAGAAGGATGGTAATGATGAGATGATGATGCTGATTTGACAACCAGCTTTATGAGTCCCAAGGAGTCAGGTGGAATAGCCATAGCAGGCTGCTAAAATTTTTATGCTTTTTGTATCCTGCTTAAGAAATCTTTCTGTACCCTCAAAGTTTTAAAGATGTTCTCCCACATTTTTCTTCTAAAAGGGCACTTAATAATTATGTTAGATCTTTGTGCTACCTGTTGTAACTTATTTCCAAAAAACTAAAAGGTTAAAAAAACTAAAAAAAAAATTATGTTAGAAACTACCTACCATTTATGAAATACCAGAGGGTAGCTTATGGGCTAAATGGATTTTCAGGGGTTGACCATGGATTCAAAACCTATTTATAGCATGATTTCTCCCGGGAAAGTACAAACATAAAGTTCAAATTTTATCATGTCACACTAAGTGGAAAGAGTCTTGACCACAATTTTAAATATTGCTCATTTTGCTGCAAGGAAAACCACTTAACAATAACCTGGGTAGTAATGACTGTAAGGAGAAGTAGTAGCTGTCGAGAGTAGAAATAGAAAGAAGGACATAAAATCTTAAGGGATCTAAAGAGAAGAAACCAAGGACTGGGGAAGCATTGTAGAAAATCAGCAGCTTTGAACAGAAATTCCCAATTTCTAGCTCCTCTGGTTGTCCAGAAAGACAAAACTGTACTTCTGGGCTCTAACTCTTACACACCTCTGAACTTTACAAAATGTTTTCCTTTAGGGCACCAGCAATCCTGTCTCTTTGTGCTACAGCTGCATCAGTATCTTTGCTTTCTGAATCCAAAAACAAAAAAAGGAAATCCTGGTTAGAACTGCTAATGAATGCATATCCTTTCAAGGATCAGTATAAAATGTTAAAATATTATAACATATATTCTAAATACAGTTTTCCTATTGACTCAAATCACTACAGTTCAACTGAAGACATACCATTTATGCCACTACAAATACTCATATCTTGAATTCCTAATTCCATCCTTTATCTGACAAGTGGATATTATTTGTCAGTAATAAGAAAAATTTATCTTACCGTTCCGCTTGCTCTATAAATCATCACCATTTCCAGAAGTTGAGGAACGTCTAGAAGAATGATCTTCAACTTTTTTTTACCATATTGGAAATACATACAACAAAGCATGTTTGGAATTAAAGACCTTATGTGGACCAAGCTTGGTAAACTAGCAGTAGCAATGAGGACACATCTTCATTAAGTTTCCATTTCCATATCACGAGGAGGGAGGTCATTGCAAATATTGCACACACTTTCTCCTTTTTTTTCTTTCTGCCTTTCTCAACCTTGTCAGGCACTGGAGTTTGTTAGTAATACATAGACTTCCTGGTTTCATCCATCAATATTGGGATGAGAGTGCTGCATTTTTCTAGTGTTCAATGTGCTCATTTCATTTGATTTCTTGTCATGAGTTTCCTGAAGAGTCTTCTGGGATGGGCATGACTTTGCAAGGACATGCCTAGCTGAATCATACTCTGTGCTCACCCTCCAACCTGAAGTGACCCTGACATCTTCTCCTGACATGATGTTTAGAGCCCTGTGTGATCTGGTCCAGACGCCTTCCTTAACATGTCCACCCACTGTGCGCTCCATCCTCACTAGAGCCCTCTTCACCCTGGACTTCACCATGCCCTACCCACCTCAGATCCTCATGTCTGCAGTGCCCTTCCTGGAGCCACCCCTTCACGCTGGACTCGCCTCAAGGCTGGACTCAGAGGTCTCCTCCTTCAGGATCTTGTTTAAACACAGCCTTTGGGGTCAGGGCAGGGTTAAACCCACAGCTAGGCCATGTCACAGCCCTATAATAGGCAAGCTTATGCAGTGACTTTGCAGAGACTCAGTTTCCTCTGTTACAAAATGGGGCCAGTGATTCCAACCTCATGAGGATGTGTTGGGGATTGTAACAGGGTACATGAAAGTGCCTGATGCTTGAACATCAGGAGGTCCACCTAGACCGGGCACACTCAACTCAGCACAAGACCTCTGATCATGAGCATGGACATCGGTCATGTTAAGAGCAGTGATTCTGAGTCCCATGTTCAAGGCTGGGCTTGGTTCCTTACAGCCATGTGGTCTTAAATGCTGGTGGTGCTAGTTGCTCATCTGTAAAATGGAGTGAAATCATTGAGTTCCCAAGAGGGCCTCTCCAGCAACAATAACTACCCTCCTATACTTGATCATCTCCAGTGGTCCAGTTGCCTCTGCCTGGGCTCCCTCCTGTCCTCTCATCCACCAGCCAGGGCTTGGGCTGGACAAGCTAGACCTCAGGTTCCTAGGGTCCTGTCAGCAAGGACAGGGGGTGAGAGGTTAGAGGAGGAAGCAGAGGGATGGCCTGATTTTCTCATCTTCCCTGATACACCTTCTGTTTCCCGCTTTAGTATCCCAACCCCTTCAGTCCACCAGGCAGGCCTTGTAGGAGACATCAGAGGAAGAGTGTGTGCAATTGGGAGGGGAGCAGCTCAGTGGCTCCAGCATTTCCAGGCCCTCCATGCCCAACTTCCAGTGCCCATTAGCCCTTGCCTGTCTGAATTGGGAGTGACACCTTGGCCCCAGGGTGCATAGGAGCACAGAGGAGATGGCTGAGTTATTGGGGAATGTGTGGCACCTGCTGAGCAAATGGAAGCTTTGGCGTATTATGTGAGCGCCTGTGAGCAAGTTGGAGTCACATGTATGCACTGTGCCCAGGCCCACCCGGAGCCCTGTATGCATACATGGCCTTGGACCCGAGGTGTGGCAGATCCATGAAATGTCACCCAGTCTCCACTTGTATTAGGGAGGCCTGCCCACCTGTGTTCACTGCAAGCAGCCCCCACCCCATCCAATGTGGAGGGAGCTGGCACCAGGTCCTCACTGTGAGTGCACTTACTCTGCTCCACCCCCACCTCCTCATTGTACAATTGGGAAAATGACGCCCAGAGAGATCCAGGCAATGGCCCACAGCACATGAGCCTCCTAGCACAGGCCTCAACATCTGCCCCTGGGATTGGCTTTGGCAGTGAGTGCCTCTAAGATCTGGGCGTCCGCTGCCCCGCCTCTTGCCATGCTGGGAGCTTTTCCTCTCAGCATCCCCACATGCTCACAGGCACAAACACTGAACTCACAGGTGGGGGCCATGGAGGTGGGTCAGTGGAGGAGCAGACACCAGGGAACTGACAAGAGGGTAGGAAGAAAGAGATGGGATACATCTCTGCCATGGACATTGACATACAGTCTCCTAGCAACGGGCCACAGGACCATATCAAGGTGGGGGGCGGGTGGAGAGGCTGGGCCGATGGGCAGGGGATCGCAGAGGTCCCCAAGGGTCTGCCTGGGCTGAGGCACCCCAGGGCAGCCTCGAGATGAGAGGGTGTCTGCAGCCCGATGCTATGGGAACCTGGAACTAGGGTGAGCCCCCACTAGTGTGAAGGGGGCCACAGGAGGCAAGGCCTCTCTTTTCTCCTCTATAACTGGGTTCTAGAATGGGTAAATCCATGGGCTCCACAGACTCAGAAAACTGTCTGTTGGCCTTGGTTCTCCATCGATGACCTGCTGCACACTGGGGGCCTTGGAAAATGCTTTCTAGTCCCTGGAGGTCAATCTGAGCAGACAGAGGCTTAGGGCTGGAGAACATAGGACTTGGTGTAGGGGAGAGCATGAGAGCACTGTATCATGAGTCCAGATTCCAGGGCCAAGACGAATCCTTGTTGGAACCTCAGGGTCCTTCTTTAGATGTGAGGTCAGAGTCACTGCTCTGGCTGTGTTGAAGATGTGTCCTATGTGAATTGGACACTCAAGGCCAGTTGAGACAAAGAAGGTGGCAAGGGAGATTTCAAAGACCCTCACTCTAACCTTGGAGTTTATAAGTCCCACTCATTTGTCCCCCCGGGATCCTAGAAGAATCTGTCCTGATGACACCTGAACAAGGTGTGTGTTTTGTTTTGTGCTTTCTCTGCCTGGGGCTGCAGTGCTAGCAGGGAGCAGTAGGCCCTTCTCCCAGAGGTAATCATGTGCTTTGCTGGAGCAAAAAAAGCAGGGAAGAGTCATCCAGAGCTCATTCTGCCAGTCCCCCTGACTCAGTCCCAACTTTCACCTCCTTTATTAAGATCCACCTTCACAATCTGAGCTGGTCAGAGGTCATCTCATTTATTCATTTCTCAACTAGGCTCCGAATACTCACCCATGCTATGCACCAGGTGAAGTGCTAAACACTGCTGACATGGTCCCAGCCCTGCAGGAGCTCAAAGTCTGGAGGGGGAGATGGACAAAGCACATGAACACATGTGAAGGTGAAGAGTTGGTGCGATAGCAAGAATACAGCAGGCTGCTGAGAGGGAGGCCTGGGGACTAATAAGGGGGAAGATCTCAAAAGGCTCACTTAGGTGACATTATGCAGAGACAAGAATAGGAAGAGGGTGCCAGCCCTGCACAAGGCTGGGAACAGGGTGCAGGAAGAGGGCACAACTGGAGCAGAGACTCAGAGGCACAAGTGAGTTTGTCCAGAGAAGAAGGACCAATGGTGTCCAGTGTGTCCCAAGTGAGTTTGGAGGAGGGGATGGGGGCAAGAGGAAGTCAGAGCCAGATCCGGTGGCCTAGTAGCCTGCATTATGTATTGGTCTGTGACAACGTTACCCCAAAACTTAGTGGCTCAAAGCAACAAACATAAAATATCTCACAGTTTCTGTTGATCAGGAATTAGGACATGGCCTAGGTGGTGCCTCTGTCTCAAGGTCTCTCAGGAGGCTAGGGCTGTGGCCTCAACTGAAACTTGACTGGGGATGGATCCACTTCTAAGCTCCCTCACATGCTCTTGGCAGGATTGGTGAACTGTGGGATTAAGGGTCTCAATTCCTCTCTGACTGTTGGCCACCGCCCTCCCTTGGTTCTCTGCTACATGGACTTCTCCACATGGCAGTTCGTACTATTGCAGCTGCTCCCCAGAGTAAGTGAGAGAGAGAGTGAGAGAGAACAAGAGAAAGAGAGTACCAGAATAAAATCCCATATATTTTGCTTGTTCTAGTCTCTAGAAGGCAGTCATTGATTCCACTCCACACTTAAGAAGTGGACAATACACAGGGATGTGTGTGCAGGTGGCCAGAACATTGGGAGCCAGTGTGCAGTCTGACATGAGGCAATTGGATCTGATTCTAAATATAATGGAAGTTTCTGGAGGCTTTTATGCCTGAGGGTGATGTTATCTAATTTCTATTTAAGTTCATCCTCCTCATGGTCAAAAACGGAAATGAGACCAACAGCAGAAGCAGCTTTCCCAATATCACATTCCTAGAACCCAGCCTTGGTTTGAGTTATACTCCATACTGCTTCCCACCACTTCTCATATTTTTTTCTAACTCAAAGTTTGTGCACTAGCTCCCCATGACATCAGCCCAGGGTTTTATCCATATTACTTCACAAACACCTGATGATGTCCCTAGAAAGGAGATGCTAGCATTATCCCACACTGTACAGACTGGAGGACTGCGGAGCCCTCACAGGCACACTAAGTGGTCAACAGTCACATCATTGGTGAGAGGCAGAAGCCAGGGTTGAAGGCAGCTAAGTCTATTCAAAGCTGGGACACTGAATGCACCGAGGTTTCCTGAAAGGCTATAGGAAGCATGGTGTTGTCTTATCTGTCTAGAGATATAGAGGTGTCATGGGAGAGCAGCGTGAAACCCTCTGGGCCCTTTGGGAAGGTCTGTTTCAAGGAGTAGGCCAAGGTAAGGGGACACAGGAAGTGACCACATTTCCTTGGTGATAAACCCAACAGAACTTGGAACTCTCATAACCAGGCACCCACATTCTATAGAAAACTCCCTACCCAGCTCACTTGGGCAAAGAAGCTCAAGACAGCAAGATGTTTTCTCGCTGTTTATCGACTTCCAGAGACTATAGACTCAGGAAGTCACGGAGTGAGAATATTTTTGAACGATTTGGACATTGGCTCCGCCCTCATTCCAGAAGCCTCAGGCCAATGGACAGGCAGAACCCAAAGGTAACACGGAGTGGACCAGGGAAGGTCAAACCATGCCTGGCCACCACTGTGATCCCACCTGGGCAGTATCACACCCATCCCCAACCATACCAGGCCCTAGGTCATACAGCCGTTACCCTTATGGAGTCTCACTTAGGTGGGCACATAGGAAATACAGACCTAAGTAATAAGACAGAAGGTGGTCAGAATGAGGCTGGGTCCATTGGGGAAAGAGGTCCATGGGGGACAGAGAAGAATTGCTGAAGGAGAAGTCATGTGATTTGGGAAGATTTGCGAGGGGAGTTGTGATGATGATAATGGTGTTATGGCTTAGGGATTCCCGGTGTGTGCTCCAACCCCCGGCCTCCTAGTCGTTCATGGAGCCACACCACAATATATGTTCCTTCTTTGTCTCACCTCCAGAGTGAAAATGAGTCAGTGCCGAGCCTGCATAGGAAGTCCTCAGCGCGGACCTATAAAGTATTTACAATTGAAACCTTAGTAGAGCCCCTTGTGTCTGCCTTCAAGGACAATGACGCTTCCTACATCTCTACCTTTCTGTCCACTTACCGGTCTTTCGGGACCACCAAACAGGTCTTAGAGGTCCTTTTCAAAAAGTAAGTGCCTGCTTCTTTTACAGCACAGTGGCAACTATGCCACCTACTAGCTATGCATCTTGGGAATATCACTTTGCCTGTCTGAGTTTTCTTCGGTCCTCTTAAAAGCGGGAAAGTGAAAGGATGCCCAGTATAGGGTTATTGTAAGCACTAAGTGGGATAGCTATGTGAAGTGATTACTGAGTGCTGCTGGAGAGGCTGTGGTTGTTCGTATTGATTCATGTTCCTCTCCTCCATGATGAAGCTCTCTGCCTCACCCCTCACTGTCACCAGGATCATGGCGAAAACTGTTTCTCCATTGAGAAATGAGGGGTTGAGATTCCATCTTAGGGTCTTTATCACTGGAGAAAAGATCCCTAAGAGGGCAGACTAACTGGCCTACTCAGATAACTGGGAAGGTACAAACAGTAGCTCATTAATTCTTCAGATGTACAATAAACACCTACCATTTGGAGGTATAGTCTAGGCACTTAGCATCATTCCTTGAGCAAAGTAGACACAAACCCTGCCCTCCTGAGCTTACATTCTAGTCATGTGTCAGACAGAAACAGTAGACTTCTCAAGGGGGGATGCACACAGGACATTGTTGTGAAATACTCACCGCCTCTTCTAGGTATGGATACATCCCTGGTAATGGTGGACCCCAGGACCAAATAAAAAAGTAAGTGGATTTGGCAACAAGAAGGAGGGGTTCCTATCTCTACAGACAGGTGGGAAGAGTGGAGGAAGCTGCTGCTGGCAAAAGGCTGGGCAGAATCCTGGGTCTCCTACATCTTATGATTCCTGCTAGAGGGCTGAAGTCTATGGACTTCTCCTGCGACAGGAAAGGATTCAAAGAGCTGAGCATAAGGTCTAGAGCGCCTGGTGGAGTAGGTGGACAGCAGGCTCAGAAAGGAAACCTGAGAAGACTCATCCCCATCCCAGACCCTTCTCAGCCCAGCTTGCCCCCATCACACCACCACCCTGAGGCCCAGAACAGGTGTAGCGTCCAACCTGCTCCCTGACCTGGCTTAGACCTCAGGGCTGTGTGACAGCTGCACATGGGGCTGGGGCAGGCTGCAACCCTGTCCTTTGGTGACACACTGGCAATGGGAGATGGGACAACACGTGGAATGCGGAGAATAAGGCAGCATGTGGGTGCACAAACTAGAGGTGGCGCTGTCACAAGGGTCCCGGGAAGGTGGGGGCAGGAAGACAGACTCCATTGTTCCCTCATCCATCAGACATTTATGGAGCACATACTGTGTGTCAGCACAGAGCAATGAGCAGAGCACCCAACCTGCCTGCCCTCTTGGTGTTTACCGTCCAGGGAAGACACACAGAATAGGCCAGGATTCCTGCGGAAGAGGATAGTTGGTGAGACCGTGGATCCAGAGCTCCCTATGATACAGGCTGTTTTCCAGCCCCCAGCATGAAGACCAGGCTGCCACTGCCAGCACAGCCAGAGTAGGGGGTGGGAGGAACACTGGGGTGGACCTGGCCTCTGAACAGGCAGGACCTGGCAAGTAGGCCAGCTCCCCACAGAGATCCCATTGGAAGATGCATGGAAGGAAAGGCAGGCCTCTGACTGTGCTGCCCACCCACTTGCCCCCAGCGCCATCTCCTCCATCCTGGGCCTCTGGCTGAACCAATACCCAGAAGATTTCTATGAGCTCCCGGATTTCCCCTGCCTCCGGCTGCTGGTAGACTACACAGGGCTCAATATGCCTGGATCAGAGCTGGAGCAACGTGCCCGCCTTCTCCTGGCACACATGGAGCACCTAAAGCCCACTGAGGCAGAGCCAGAGGGTGAGACAGAATGAGGGAGGGTGTATGAGAGCATGTGGGTAGGGGTACTAGCTAGGTACACAGGGAGGAAGCTCCCAAGTTTAGGTTGGGAAAGGAGCAAAGACTAGCCGCAGATTACTCATCCTGTGGACTGCAGTCGAGGAAGGCTTCCAGAAAGAGGGGTTCTTGAACTGGGGCTACTCACAAAGGCAGTGGCATGGTTTCTATGTTTGGAAAATCATATAGAAAGCCATTTCTACTGGTGAAACTCTCTCTCTTCCCAGCTCCAGAACCAGCTCTGGAGCTACACAGAGTTCCAGCATCAGCTCTAGTGGCAGCTCTAGAGCTGGAGGCAGCTCCTCCGGCAGCTCCAGAATCAGCTCCATCGCCAGCCCCAGCAGTTACGCCAGAGCTCCGGCAAGTGCTGGCTCCAACACCAGGGCCTTCCTGGCCCTCACTTGTGAGCACAATGCATGAGATGAGAGAGGAGAAGCTGAACATCTTGTCGTTCCCTCCCAAGCTGGTGGCAGAGCAATTAACAATGATGGACGTGGTGAGCAGCTGGGCTGGTAGGGTGTACCTGGGCAGACCTTCATTCTGGCATTTGATGCCCAAGATTTGTCTTTTCCTGATCTGGATTCAGTGATCTGCATCCAAATCCCTGATCCACCGCTTACCAAGCATGGGGTTTGGACACATTTCTTAACCCCCTGGGCTGCTGTCCACATATGGATAGTAAACACAGGCTGCTGACCCATCCTGTTGCCTACAGTGACTGTGAAGATTTGATGAGATAGGACAACTACTCAACTTAGCAGGGGATGGCTCCTTAAAAGGCCGAGTGGTATTCCCTGATGGACACTCAGTTTATGGGTGGACCATCCTTCTGCCCAGGGGTCCTTAACCAACTTCAGTACTAATTAGGCACCTAATGTGTACAATGCTTTATGGAAATCTTCCAAAGGCTGTAGTTGTGATACCCAGGGAGAATGCGCATCTGAATGGGGCGACAGACCAAAAGGGCTTATCAAGATGGGCAGAAGGTGCTACCTTGGTATGTGCAGGCTGGAGTTACCTTATGGTGCTTGCTTAGTGAGGATGGCACTGGTGACAATACTGTGCTCTCTTCCCTGTCAGCAATGAACCCTGGTTAACTCATTTGTTGAGTGCACACAATGGGAGAGAACAAATAAAGACCCTCCACAAGGCCTAAGCCACATCCTCAGCATCCAGAGCTCCAGCTCAGACCAATGTGCCCTGGGCTAAGACTGTGGGACTGTGGGCTCTGAGCTGGGGTGGGGAATGACAAGTGACACTTCTCCTCCTCTCCAGGAGCTATTCAAGAAGGTGGTGCCCTATGACTGCTTAGGCTCCATCTGGTCCCAGAGGAAGAAGAAGGGCAAGGAACACCTGGCACCCACTGTTCGTGCCACTGTCACACAGTTTAACAGTGTGGTGCACTGTGTAATCACCACCTGCCTGGGGGACAGGAGCATGAAGGCCCCAGACAGGGCCAGCGTGGTGGAGCACTGGATCGAGGTGGCCAGGGTAGGCTGTGGGGGAGCCCAGGGGACCTCTTTACCCAGTCCTGGGAACTCCCTTTTGTCTTATGTCAGCCCTCAGGATTGAAGTCTGTGGTTGAAGCCCCTACACAAACCATAGTCCCTTCCTGTGCAGAGGCACACTGGCCTTGACTGGCTTGTGCCATTGTGGGACACTCATTCCTACCTAAACTCTATCCTCAGGTTGAGGTAAAATCATCCTCCCTGTGGTCCTTGTCCTTTGGGTCCAAGAGTGCCCTGCAGGGGCTTTGTGAGTGTCTGTCTCACCGAGGAGGGAGATGTCAGCTGAGATAGACTGAGGCTGCAGCAGGTGGAGGTCCAAGCCTCCACCTCATGGCTCATCCTTTTTCTTTCCCCAGGAGTGTCTGATCCACAGGAACTTCTCCTCACTCCATGCCATTCTCTCTGCTTTGCAGAGCACTCCAATCAGTCGTTTGAAAGACACTTGGGCAGAAGTGTCCAGGTGGGTATTCTCTCCAATAGCAGCATCAGGGTAGATCTGGGACATCACACAAGAATGAGAATTGCCCCCTCAGTGAGCCTGAGACCTGCTGGGTGGAGGCTTAGGAGCAGGAACTGCTGGACAGGGTCTGGAAGCCTCCATGTGTCTTCAAGCCAGCAGTTCAGTGTCAGGACTCTATTTCCTGATCTTTCAGCTACAGGGTGGAGTCAAACTACTGATTGTCAGCTGTTCACTTCAAATCCCCATAACTCTGTCCAGTTGAAATCAAAACTCGGAAAATCTAGCTGCTCAGTGGAAATAGGATGCAAGATCCTTGTTGCACCAACATGGGACCTCCACCCCAGTCCCAGAGAGCCCTTGCGTGCTCAGAGGAACCCAGTTTGTAAACTACTCACCCCAATAGTTTACCCTTTGGGCTCTCAAACAAAAAGTATTTGACTCATACCTCTCTCTGCATCCCCAAATTTCTCCTTCCTTCTTTCCTGTCCCCTTAGCCACAGCTCCCAGACCTTTAAGAAGCTGTGTAAGAACAAGAACACACTGATCAGGGACCTTCCCATTAAGGTAAACTGGAGGCAGGGGATGGGGAGGGACAGGGCAGGTGGAGGTATATCAGTTTCACTTTGAAAGTTTGTGTGAAAAATCCCAGTCTCGTCTTGAGTACAGTAAGAGGAAGAGGGATCCATTTGGTCAATGGGCAAGTGGGGAGCAGTGTTAGAGCAGGACACCCCTGGTAGTGGGATGTAGTGGTGGAGGCTGTGCTGTTGTAGGAGGGCTTGATGAGCTGACAGAATGAGTATGTCTCTGGCTTCCAAGTTGGTCCCTAATGATTGGACTCAGCTCCTCTGGGCTGTTGGTTAATTGGGCAGACAGGGGTCCTTCCTTCCACAGTGCAACACAGCATGTCTTCAAGCAGACAGCCCTGCTATTTCTTTTGTCTGCACTGCACACCCAAGGGGCGGGCACCACCCCTTGCACCAGAGATAAAGACTGCAGGGGAGTCCTGTGGGCCTTGTGGCCCTGCCTTGCGTCCAAATGGCTCGACCCAGGAGACAGATGTGCATACAGTCTAGGACTCCCCCAACCCCTTCCATACAGCAGACACTGCTCATCAATCCCACACTCACGATTCTCATCATGGGGTCTCCATTGCATTGACATATGGCCAGATGGCTTATGAGAAGTGTCTAGAGACAAATGAATCCAGACTCTACCTCAGAAGCTTCCACCTAAAAGAGGAAGCAAAGTGTCACTGCACGTTGCTCCTGGCAACTTCTACCCAGTTGGTCAGAAATGGCCCTTTGGGAAGCCCATTCCATAGTTGATGGGGACAGAGTTTTCCACAGTGGAGTTTCTGAGGACTCCTTGTGAAGGTGAAGCCTTTGCAATGTCTTGAGGGCAGAGACTCCAGTGGTGTTGCAGCAGGCCTTCTGAGACACCCTGTCCCTTCCCTCCACAGCTCAATCCAGCTGGAACTCAGCTGGGAGGACAGTCCCCTGGGTCAGTGGTGGGGGACAGGGTGAAGGCAGCTGACCCAGGGCCTCCTGCTGGGAGAGAGGAGCTGGTCTCTTCTCTGACTCCCTGTGAGACCCTGGACACATTGCTGCCCTTCTTAGGACCCCTGTTTTCTTATCTGGAAAATGGAAGGGTGAGATTGCTGTGGCCCTCCTCATGGGGTGGTGAAGAGGGTTAAGGAGAAAAGGTATGTGCATGAGCTTGTGCAGGGCTCCACCATGGAAAGGGGGATGGCAAGAACAACAATGAAAATAGTGACATAGGGTTGGGTCTTCAGAAAACCCTATAGCTAGGGGGGAATTCCCACCACACTTTCCAGATGAGGAAAAAGGCGCAGGGAGGGTCAGGCTGCTTGCCCAAGGCAACACTCCAGTGAGTGTTGAGTTGGGGTTTGAATCTAAAATCAGAGCACACTGGAGGTGGCAGTGGTGATGTACATCCGACTCTAGTCAGGTATCCAAGGCCCAAACAAGAGTGCGGGAGAAGTAAAGTGGCCATAGGAGGATGTCCTCACTGACTCAACCTTGACTCTGACAGGAGGGGATCTCCAAGTTTGCCACCCTGAAGATGAACCCCAAGAGGGCCCAGAAGGGGCAGCAGCAGAAAGTGAAGGTGAGTGAGTTGAGGCCAGGGAAGGGTCCAGGAGGAGCTGGCTCCAAGTCAGGAGAGGAGGGGCCCCTCCTTCTCAGACCCTCTCCTCCTGGGACTCAGTGCTTGAAATGCCTTCATTGTACATGACCTCCTGTGGGTCCTAGAAGGGCCTTGCCTGGACCTGCTAGTATCTTGGGGAGCAAGTTATAGCTGCCAGAGTTAGGGCCTGAAAGAGCTGGCGTCAGGGTGGATTTGGGAATGGGGTGGGGCCAGGGACCACATACGGTTTGTGAGTTGCCAAAAGCTGATCCCTCAAGATGATTAGAGGGAATTCAGTGTCCATGAAACTGGAGATGGAGACTCAAGTAGAGGCGGCTAAGGGTCCCCAGGATGCTCTAAGTGGGAGCCTGCCATGTAGGGCAAAAAGTGTGAGCTTGAGGAGTTTCAGGGAAGGGGCCTCTGCGGGCATCTGAGAGTGTGTGCTCATCCTCACTCCCACCCAATGTTACAGGGTGTCATCCAGGGCACTGTGCCCTACCTGGGAGTGTACCTCACAGACCTGGTGATGCTGGACACTGCTTTGCCAGATTTTCTGGATGTGAGTGAGCCTGGGGCTGTGGGGCAGGAACCAGGATCCTGGGACTTGGGAGGAAAGGGTCCCCCTTACTGATCCCTGAGCTCTCAGCCCATGGTGCCTTGTTTCATGCGAGCCTCACCGCAGCCCCTGTGAGTTGAGGGTTTCAGGCCATCTTACCTACAAGTAAATGGAGGCTGAGCATAAGCCACCTGTCCCAGTGCCCCAGGCTGATGAAGCAGCAGAGTTTCTGACTGCAAAACTGCATGAGGTTTTTACCTGAGCTGGACACAGTGTCTCCCTGAAGGGGTGACATGGGCTGCAAAGTCAGACAGTCCCCGAGTGTCTGAGCAGCACCTCCTTGCCCAAGGCCTCAACCTCTTCACTTATCATCAGAGAAGTTCGGGCTTTATGATACTTTATCCTCTGTCTCCTGTCCCCTTTTCTCTGGTGGCCAAAACCTGAACCAGAATCATGTGCTGATGTTTGTGCTGCTGCCCTCTCCTGGGCTCTGTTGGTAGTGCAAAACAGGAAGGGCTAAACCAAAGCTGGGGAGGACCCAAACCTCTTGCCCTGGAGTAGATTCTAACTCATAGCGACCCTGTAGGACAGAGTAGAAATGTCCCATAGGGTTTCTAAGGAGTTGCTGGTGGATTCAAACTGCTGACCTTTTGGTTAGCAGGTATACCTCTCCATAGCTCTTAACCACTACACCACCAGAGCCCCTAGGATGGGCTACAGGCTGGTAAGGGCCTCTAGGACCCATTCTGATGGACATTGTCTGTGTGTCTTCCAGGGAGGTTTGATAAACTTCCAGAAGAGGAGAAAGGTGAGCAGTACGGGAACACACTGGGGGTGGGGGAGGAAATCGGAGCCCTTCCTGGACAGGACATTCCCTTGCTCCATCCCCCTTCCTTTTAGATTTATGGGAAAAGTTTGATGCACAGAAAAGGGGAGACATGTACCACACAAGGGTAGAGCTAGGGGGTTGGAACCCAGGTCAACCTGCAGGCAGAGACTTTGAATCAGTTCTGAGAACAGGATAGGCTCTGGATGGGAATGGAGGCAAGAAGGGACCCCATGGGAGGAAAGACCCAGAGACTGGAGCCCTGCCACTCCCAGCACTCATGCCCAGGCCAGGTCAGCCTCCTGTCTTTCCCTCTGTTCCCAGGAGTTTAGTGTGCTGCAGGAGATAAAACTCCTCCAGTGGGCCTGCCAACACTACACCATCATGGCCCAGGAGCAATTTGAGACCTGGTTCCAGGGCATGGAGCGTCTCACCGAGACAGAGAGGTGAAGCCTGGGTAGCAATTGGGCCATGGTGGGGGGTTGGGGGGCTGTCCCTGGTGGCTGCTCCACAGAGCCTGTGGACTTGGTTTCTTGGTCAGCAGCGGACCCCTTGTTCCCTGATGATAGCTGAGGCTCCTGGACTCCAGCTTCTGGGCAGAAACTAGGTGGGAGACCATGAGGTGAGGGTCCTGGTAGCCTCACAGCTACCCTCTGTCCTGTAGCTACAACCTGTCCTGTGAGCTAGAGCCCCGGACACAGCAGTCCAGCAAGAAGACCTAGAGGACTTGACCGTCTTCAAGAGCTGGTGCGAGTGAGTGCCCAGATCTGGGTGGGCAAGGGCTGGCTGCCCCGGTGCTCAGTGACGGTCAGAGTCCAGCATGGGCTGGGGGAGTCAGACAGCCTGCGACTGAGGCATGTCTCCTCACCTTTCTGTGCTTCAGTTTTCTGCACTGTGAAATGGGCTGATGCTAAATGATCTCCTAAATGGCTGGAGCCAATGGGGTAATGTTGATTCACTAAGCACTTAGCCCAGTGCCTGACACAGACAGCACAGTGGTAGCTGGGGAAGGGTGGACTTGGGCTGTGTCCACAAGGCAGACCTCAAGGGAAGCTGACACCTACACCCAGCTGCTAAGACCTGAAAGCAGAGCCCAGAACCAGCAGAGGATCCCACTCCTGTGACCAGCTTATTGTGTCCCTTTAATTGAAAGTGGGGAAATAGCCAGGAAGCATTGAATACTACAGGGACAGTTCAAAAGACAATGGACACCATACTGAAGGCTGCCCTCTGGACCTGTGCACCTAACCTTTCAGAATGTGAGGGATCCAAGGACTCCTAATTCTGAGTCCCACAGCCCACCCCAGCGCACTCCTTCTCCATCCGTCTTGGTACCTCCCCAGTGATTCCCACCCTTGTGTGTGTTGTAGATTCTGGGCTTGAAACCAGTGAAGCCTGGGACCTGGAAGCCTGAACCTGAGTGGAGCTGGAGATGACCCAGTGTTCATTGTTATTACCTTTTAGTTAGTATTTTATTCTTATTTGTGTTTATTTATGAATATTTTCTTCTTAAAATAATAAAAGTTTAATTTCTTCTTGTTTATTTCTATCAGCAATCCATGTGCTTTTTTTTGTAATTTACATTTGGTCATTTAGTTTTATAGTCATGAAGTTTTGCATTATTTTACTTTCATTTATTTTCCTGGGGATATAGTTGTAGCTATAGCAATTTATATTTAATTATTAGTTATATTAGTGTATTTCTTGTTCTTTAATGTCCCGGTCATTTACGGGCAGGGTCATGTCTAACTGCACCTACAGCTTCATCAGCAAATGGGTTTTGCTGTTATCCAGCAGACACCAGGCTTCTCCATGGTGCCTTGTGCATATCACAGGGTCCCCAAGGATTGCCCTTAAATATTTGTACATGTTACATTTAACACCACTACTTTAGAAATAGTCTCTGTGAAGAAAGAACTGTTACAATTTTCCTTACTGCTTTTTTAAAAATTTAAGTCAACACAGTAAACATATCAACCACAATATACCATGAATCCCATTACTGAACTTCTTGAAATCATATGTATAAATTAAGGATTATGTAGCTCAAAACCATAAAATATGCTTCTCCCACAAATGGACTCACATTCCAGGACTTCAGAAACATTCTCCCAGGCTTCCTGTACTCTGGGATGTTCTGCTGTTCACTGGCAGGGGACTGTCAGTGGTGGAAGTCATTGTAATAGGTTCAAAGCTGCAACTGAAACACCCACCTGTGTCATCTCACCTTACAGAACATCACAGTTGGAAAGCCAAATGCTACAGCAGGCCATCAGTAATAGTTGCTGAGTGAATGAATGATGGTCATTTAGTTCAAAGATTCTTGGTCTGTGATCCATGAATTACTAGATAGATGTTAGAGGTCCATGAATCACCCTAAAATTGTGTGCAAATTACATTATATATATGCACTGTTTGGGAAGAGGAAAGAAAAAGAGAGAGAGAGAATACTCCTGGTGTCACAAGACCTATCATCTCTGCAGAAGGTAAGACAGGTAGGGATGAGAAGGACCCAAACCAGGTACAGGCATAGCCCCCTTGACCTCTGAGTCCCACGACCCACATCGCAGCTGGAGCTCCCCTCAGTCTTCTCAGTGGTCACTCTAGAGCCCTGAGGAAGAATTCATTTTGAATCTATAGTAGTCTTCTATGCATATGAGAACCACCTGAGGGCAGCATCACCAACCAAATAACCCCACTTGTACAAAGACATGTAGCATGACAGCTCCATGGTCTTTATTCACACCTTGGATTTATTCTCAGTGTTAGCAACTATGGAGGAGACTTTAAATATCCTTGAGATGCTCACCAGTCCCAAAGTAAATTTCTCATATTCAATAAACCCCTGCAATTTAAGGAATTATTTCTTCAAAGACACTCAACCTAGAAAAAATAAAAATAGAAAATCCATATAATTATTATATGGTAACAGAAATAATCAGAAAGAAATTTATGTTTATACATTTAGATTAATAACTCTGTGTCTGACCTACCCTACTAGCAAAAAAGTGTGTCCAATAGCCATATCCTCAGTTGTCCAGGAACCCCGCCAGCTAATAAAGGATAAAATGACTCATCTCAGAAGAGAAGGGAGTGTCTTGCACCCAACATGGCCCAAAGTGCACTGCCTAAACCTGATCCTGCCCTACCTGCCAGTGCAGGAGGCCTTGTAGAGACCCCTGGGGATGAACAAGAGGGGTGATCCTACTCTCTCAGGCCTAGACACAGGGACTAAGATAAACAAAACTGACCGAACAAAGCCCACTTTTGTTGAGTCAAATCCCACTAATAGGGACCCCATTGGGTTTGCAAGGCTGTAAGTCTCTATGGAAGCTGACTACCACATCCTTCTCCAGCGGAGCCCCTAGTGGATTCCAACGACCAACGTTTCAGCAGTCGATCACTTTAAACAAAACTGAAGGAGGAATAAATATAAAGGAGAAAACATCTAGGCATAGCAATGAAAAATTGTTGAATAACTTAAGGAAGCCTGAGGTGGGGGGAAATGGACACATCTACAACCAAGATGTAAAAACACATGTCTGTTGAAGAAATGGAAATCAGAACACACAACTTGAAGTACCAAAAAATGTAAAATTGTAATTTTATTCTGAGTAGATGTCATTCTAAAGGGTAAGTGAAATAAAGACATTCAATTTATTTAAGATAAACAACAATAAAGGAAATTTTAAAATTTCTTCAAAATGAAAGAAGATTATTCTAGATGGCGGGATCATTTCTGTTTAAAATTCTACGGAATCTCTGAAAAGTTAGTAGATCCAATTTCCAAGTATAGGGTACCAGGTCAATTAAAAAAAAAAAATCAAGAGCATTTCCAGGTTCTAGCAATGGACAACTGGACATTAAAATCAGCAAAATACCATTTGCAGTAAACTTCAAAATTATATACTTAGGGCTAGATTTATCAAAGCGTATGCAAACCTCCACGGTGAAAACTACAGAACATCCTGAGATAAAGAAAAGAAGACCTAACTTAGCATAGTTCCATAGCATGTTCATGGATCAAAAATCTCAACGTTGTTAAGATGTCAGTTCTCCCCAAATTGTTTTGTAGCTTCAATTAAATTCCAATGAAAATATCAGCAAGTTTTTTTTTAGATGATTTCACATGTTCATTTAAAAATTTATGGGCAAATACAAAGACCTAGAATAGTCAAAACAAATTTTAAAAAAATAATGAATTTGGAGGTCTTGCATTATGTGAGGATGAGATTACCATAAATCTGCAGGAACTAAGACATTGTAGTATTGATAAAAGAGTAGCCAACTAGAGCCAGTATCAGGCCAGGATTCCTGAGGGCAGAATTCGGCTTTGATAGATTACTGTTTTGGGAGTACTACCAGGTAATTGTTGGTTCTTAGACCCATTTGACTGTCCAGTTTTGGTGCTGCTTCCACTGCGGAGCAGGTGACTGTTCCACAGTCACAGAAGTTGCAGCCGGCTGAATCAGTACAGACTGAATTCTGGACCCTGACAGTAAGGTGGGAGACAGAGACGGCTGAGAGGCACTGAGGTCATTGGACAAGGGGAGGAAGGTGGGTCCTGTGCCCCCAGTCCCCAGGCCTGAGGCCCAGTTTCCAGTCACCTGTGCAGTGAGTGAGGAGGGTGAGGACAGAGGTCCAGGCCATGGAGGAGATGTCCGCAGAGGTCTGCATCTTGAGGACCCCCAGCTGGGGCCTTGCTTCCCCAAGTTTCTTATGTAGCCCCACTGACTCCAGGGAGAGGGAAGTTCCTATCATGCAAATCAGCCCTGTCTGCTCTTTCATCCAGCCCTTCCATAGGCCCTGAGTCTGGACAGTCAGCTTGAGTACATTGCCCTGGGTGGGGTGGGAAAGTCCAGGCTGAGCTCCCCAGGTGTCCTGGGAGGTGTTTATTTAGCAGGGAGCAGAAGGAAATGGATCAGGGCCAGATGCTGGTTTCCCACATGTGATCACCCCATAGACACCTCAGGAACACGCCAGCAGCACCCAGTGTTGGCCCAGGGACCAGATCCAACCACGTCTCTAGTTTCTCCACTGCTCTTGTCTATTTCCACCTTCCCCAAATAGAGACAATTGTGTCCTACTTTAGCTGCACCTATCCTTATTTCTCTACTTGGAGCTTCTGCACCATGATGCATCTGCCCTGCTCACTGAGTTCTTTCTAGGAAGTCCTGGCCACTCGCCCTCACTGAAGCAGATTCTCCTAATAGGCATCAGAGCAAGAAGCCCAGCACGGGGACAGGGTGGCCGCCAGCATGCCAGGCTATACCTGGAGGCGCCTCCACCTTCCCTGTGCCCACATGAGACTACAGCCCTCCTTTCCAGGCTGCCAAGCCCTGTTCTGGAATTCCTGGGTTATCACACTGGGGACTTCTTTTCTGGTTTCAGCCCACTGACCCCAGCATAAAAGGAATTCAGCAGTTTGGTCTCTTACTTGACAGAGGGAGAGCTGGGCTCAACTTCCCAACACCTCTGTCTTGCTCTCCATTCTTACGGACGCCTGGCGGAAACAGTCCAGTGGGAGGACAGAGAAGTTTCTCTGCAACTTCCCTTACATGAGACTCTGATTGTGACAGGTCCCAGGGTCCCTGGTCCAGAGCTCAAGTGCAGCAGCCTTTGGAGAGGCTCTGAGTCTGGGGGTTACATGGAATGAGGACTTGGAAAGTAAGCAGACATCAATGAATGGGGATCCTATCGAGTGTATTTATTGCTGACTGAG